GGCCGGCACGCAAATGGGCGCTGGGCAATTGGCGCATCGAGCGGGTGGCCAAGCTCCAGATCAAGGCCATGACCATGATCGCGGATGCGCTTGCCGAGGCCGGCGATGATTCTGCTGAACACTGGTCGCTGGCGCAAGAGATAGAGGACGAAATCTACAGGGCCTACGACTGTCCAGGACGCGAGCCGGTCAACAAGCACCGCCAACTGTGTCTGGGGCGTTATCTGGGTGTTCGAGTGCGCAGCGTGCACGCCAACCTCATCGATGCCAATGCGAATCCGTGCTCGTCGGCGTCGTGTCGCCAGAGCGGTTGGCCACCATGACGCACGCCGACATGTTCCCCTCGCTGCACGCGCGAACGCTCAAGCCCAAGGAGGTGCCAAGCCCAAGGCAGCCGCGGCATGTTCCGATGCAACAAGCGCGACTGCCACAGCTGGTTCACCACCTACTATCAGCTCCAGTCGAGCGCCGACGAACCCCTCACCACATTATTGCAATGCACTCAGTGCAATAATCGGTACAGATTCTGAGGCATCCGCATCCGCATCGCCTTTCCCGTCGCATGAGCCAGCAATAGGCAAACAAATACTTGTGGGTGGAAAAAAACTTAATAATACCGGACAACCGTCGCGGATTATTTCCATACAACCTTGCATGGAGTTTACGGGTTCTTCCGTGTGGCAAAAGAGTGCGCACTCTTCCTCTTCTTCCCGCGAAGGCCGTTGAGTCTATTGATTTGACAGTTGGAACGAATCGGCATGAAACGACTCTTGGCTCTTTTGGGCTTCTGCCTGGCGATCTCTTCCTCCGCTACCTCGTGCAAGAGCGACGAACGTCTGGTCCATGACATCTCAAAGGCCGGCCCCTATGGCGGCGAGCTCCAGCTGACTCGCGCTCTCGCCCAGGCCCAGCTCGTTGCCACCATCCACGACCGGCTAGAAAGCGCCGGCGTGTGCTATTTCGCCACCAGCCGTACGCTGGAGGGTGTGTGGCGTCATGCCGCCGCCATGCCTCACCACTCGCACGCAGCGGACCTCGCCATCGAGTCCGCCAACTTCGCCCTCGCGCCCATGTTTATTTTGAACCTTTGCGTTGCTGACGTCACGCCCACTCTTATGTGTCATTTTTTGTAATTAAATAGGTTTTGCTTGCTGAGCTCGCGGCCAGCAGCAACTACATCGTGCAGGATAACAAGGACCTGGACCACCTCAAGGTGTCCATCGTCATCGATGGCGAGGCCGCCGTCCACGTCAACCTGTTCGTCTACTCGCGCTCCGAGGACGGCCAGCGCCTCGTCCACCCGTTGTTGTCCTACCAGCCCGCCATCGAGACAGTCTTCCCCACCAAGCTGGTATTCAAGCCCTGCCATCTTCTTCTTTCTTTTCATCTTCCTTCCCCACGCGAGGGCTGACTGGTGGATGTGTAAGGCTTCGTACTTCGAAGGTTCGATCCGCGTGCCGGCCGACACCAGGGCGTTCCTCTTGGGTCAGCACGGCAGCGAGCTCGATGCACCCAGCAAGGCCTTCTCGTGGACCCACATGTCCTACGTCGTCCCCCACGCTGGCATGACCAGTACTGCTAGCCCCTCTACTTGATGTAGTTTGGCACATGCAGGACTAA